TACTCATTTGAGTATGTCTCGACTTACTCATTTTTTTGCGAAAGAGTAACTCTACACTTACTCACTCGTTTTCCCTCCCTCAGAAAAATATATAAAGGATATATAACTTTTTCTGAGGAGAAAAAAAATTGAAAATGAGTATGTCGAGACATACTCAAATGAGTATGAAAAAGAGTATGAAAAAGAGTATGAAAAAGAGTAGGAAAAAGAGTAGGTGTAGAGTTACTCTTTGGGTAAAAAATGAGTAGGTCGAGACATACTCAAAATCAAAGAGTATATACTCTCATACTCAAAGAGTATCTATGAGTATGAGAGTATGTCTCGACATACTCATTTTCGAAATGAGTGAGTATGAGAGTATATACTCGCGAATTCGCCCACCTGTAGTTTTGGCGAAGAAGCAGAAACGAATAATTCTTGGAATAAACTAATTGATTACTTTAACATCTTAAGTACTGTCGACTCATTTTTGTTGACTTATTGTCTAGAGTTGTTTATTTGATAAAATGATCGCCAAAATGAAATATGTTTATGTAATCGATTAATTTATACCGAGAATTATTCGTTTCTGCTTCTTAGCCAAAACATATGTACTGATTAGATCCATGTTGCAAAAGTTGATTCGATTGTTATGATTCATCATCGAACAAAGATAATATTCTATGATTTGAATAAAAAAAATTGATATTTCGAAATTTTAAGAAATATCGGGAAAATTGACTAGAAAACGAACAAAAACCGGGAATCGGGAAGACGGTGAAAATATCGGGATTTTCCGGAATTTCCCGGCAATTCCCGGCGGGATGGGGGGGTCTATATATGATGCATGCATTTGTTCATGGTGGCTGTAACCCATGAACTGCTTCATTCTTCTTGCCAATCATCTATCTATTTTTCTTTTACTGTGGCCGTGCCATGAAGTTGCTTTTATTTTGTGATTAAGGTTTTGAGTATTCTTTGAATTCTATACAATTGAATCTACCGCATACGAATTATAAGACAAAATCACATAATAATTACTTCTTAGCGAATTGACTAGGTAAAGCCAATTTCAACGGATAGAACACACAACAATTCGAAAATAGTATTTCATTAGGAAAATGTTTGGCAAATAAAAAAATATATTATTCCATTTGAGACAAATATAGTTTTGCATGAAAAAAGAAATTGTTGATTGGCATTCACATCGTAAATGATCAGTAAGGAAAGTGAAAAGATGATTCATGACTAAAAGAAATAATTCCTTTATTCGGTATTGTGAGTAAAGCAGTTAAATGCAAGTACTTTTTTCTATCGCATTCACCAATAGAACGAAAATTTCCAATTACACACATCACAAACGGCTCAGTACTAAATATTATAGAATGCATTGGATAAAACGGATTTATTATTTATTTTCGTTTCTGCATACTGCTTTTCTCTCTCTTCGCATTAGTCTGACTTCCGGAATCATATACATTGTTTAAATATTGAATATGTTTGCATTCAATCCACGTATAGCTGGCATCAGGTTATTTTCAAACAATCGAACATGAAGAGGACGAACAGAGAAAGGGAAAGAAAGAACGAGTGAACGAAAAATAAAATTGGAACATGTGTTCGGTACGCGACGGATAATGTTCGAATGGACATGTACATTGACAGTGATAATAGGAATTATTTTAGTTCTCTTTTGTTCAACATTTTTTGTCTCTTTTGCCGACCGCTTAGTGCCTCCGTTCACAAATGCAGCGCACGCATTGGCATTCACATCGATTCCAAAAAAACTAAGTTTCACTGCAAACAATTTTTCTTTAGATTTATGAATATATATAGCAAATCGGTCACCGTGCCTTCAAATGTTCAATATGATCTTACCGATTTGACGACAAATACATCAATCAAATCGTGTATATACCCGTGTGAAAAATTTGTGACTGACTAGCCAGCCGTCCAATTTCGGACTTTTTGGCTGACTATCAGTAACTAAAAGTGATTATCTCGAACAAAATATTCGACTGTAGTCAACTTCAGTTATAGTCATCTAGTAGCCAAAAAGTCCAAAATTAGACGGCTGGCTGGAAGAATAACTAAAAGTGATTGTTTCTATACAACATTCTTGAATTCAATCAACTTAGCCAGTTTTAGTTATTTGCAGCTACATACAACTGAATGACTGTCAGTCACTTTATTTGCACACAATGGATGCTTATGATTGCAATTTTTTCACTTGTCTGAAGCCATATTTTTGTGTTTTAACCTAAAACACCGATATCTGTTTCGATCGAAATACAACTAGTATGCGACCATTTTTCTGATACTAATGACAACAAATCACAGTATTTCTCGGTTTAATAATTATCTATTAAAGTATCAATTCGAAATGTTGATAGTTTTGAAGTCGTCGATTAACATTACACTGAATTTTCCATTGAACCATTAAATGGTTTGGCTAATACAGAAATGAGGTACATTGATCATTACTTGTTTGATTTTAATAATTAGCTACATTCAAATACAAACCATGTATCATAATGCGTTCGCTTTCAATTGATTGTTTATGTTGCGGCGCTGTTGTCCCGGTGTTTGTTTGATAAAATACTTAAAAACACCACTAAATTTGCTGTTATCCATGTGCAAACCCATTTTGCCATCTCATTTGCAAATTGTGTATTTTGAATATGCATCGTACAACGTATATGCTTCATGTATTCACGTGAATGGATGACATTTTACTATCCACACATGGGACACGTTGGTAAACTATTTTTCTTCTAAATTGCCAAGTGTCGTTCGTGCTGATTTTAGTTTGTTTCCTCTGTCAAGTCCATTATCCATGTACGCCATTGTCAATGCAACAAAAGACCTGAAACCATTTTGAAAATACGATAAAATTCTAATTCTCTGCCAGCCAGAGCTTCTGGCTCATTCGTTCGTTCATTTGCACGATGCTATGGAATTTTTGTGGTTAATTGTTTGGGTTGCATATTGTTGTGCGACAAAACCACGATTAATGATTATTCGTGCTGATTTCTACAAAATACACATTGGTATATACATTTTTACCCACAGCACGAACGTAATACGATTTCAAAATTGAAAATATCGAGAAAATGACGCATAATCGAAGGCTGTTAGCCCATTAATACGTTCATTCAACGTTTAATGAATGACGTGCTTTCTCGTTGCGAAAGCATCAGGCGAATTGTCAATCGATTTATTTTATTTGCCTGCCGAAAATATCGCGCATTTTGATAATTTTGTTTATTCATTTGTGTACGCGTGTGGTGATACAATTTTAAGCAGATTTTTTTTCTAGCTTTCTGGCACATCTATGGGACGTGTACGCGTGTAATTCACATTATCATAACACGATTTGAAAACAGCGATTGAAACAGTGGGCTCACAGTAGAGCCTAGTATTTACTTGTCTTTGTCAATTGCGACTAGGTATTGCCGAATGTGGATCATTTCAAGGATCTTAAATAAATACTTTGCAATTTAGCTCAATAATATTGTGGCATGTAAAATGAAACGAATATTTGCACTTTGTATGTATATTCATCGAAACGGAACATTTTAACAATAATAATTTGCCGTTTGTTTGTCTGTCTGTTTGTAGATTGAGCAATTTTTCAACGCACATTGCACATCATACATTGTATGTATGCATAAGGTATGCGTACTGGGGATCGAAATGTTTATATCCCTTGATTGACTACGTTCGTCGATGTCCCGGCTTGTGTGTGTGTGTATGTGTGTGCGCACAATGATGCGTATTGTTATTTTGTTTGTAAAATGTTAAAACCATTACAATCTGTCTGATTGTGCATTGTGCAATATGAATGCGAAAGCACTGTGATGATTGTTTGCAATGCTGTTAAAATGTGTCACATGTGTATATATTTTGACTGCGGGTGCGGCTACCCATTTACCCATGTTTATTGGTAGATTCGGTTAGATTTTCGATGGCTTATTTATTAAATAGTGCAACATATGTAATGTCCAAATAATTTCTTGATCAATATTCCCGAATGTTATACGCGCTCTGCGTGCCTTCCATCCGAATTCGCTGCAAGTGGTCAGTAATTTAATGCATACACACAACACATGTATACATGATGTTTCAGTCATTCGTTGCAATCCGCCATTCGAAGCCATTTGGGCATAACATACACATGATTACAAACTCAAAATGATCATAATTACAAAGCAAAATTCATTTTGCACAAATCCAAGCTTTACTACAATCCAATTAACTTTCGATTGCCTATTCCAATAGCAACTTGAATAACCAGGAAGAAATATAGTCTAACTGGCTAAATCAAATATACCATTAATTACAAACATATTCTCTTTCCTTTCCATCGACCTGTAAATCATTTGAGGTCAATTCATTTTGGCCTTTTAAAATTATAATAACAATAGAAATAATAATCATGATCATTTCAACATTTTGGTTTGTATCAGCCTAATACTTTCAGATGAAATACTCCTTAAGATGTGACCAAACTATTGAGGTTTCCATTCTGAAACACTTTTGTGGCAGCAAGTAGTATTAATTCAATGTGTCATTGAATTGTGAAAATTGTCCACTGAAAAAACCATAATCAACCTTACCTATTTTTGCTATCAGATTTCGGAATTCCAGCAATCAAAAATAATGTCAATAGATTCATTTCGATGAAATATTTAGCAAATTCATTGCTTTATTTATAAATCAGCAAAATGTGTTTTTAATTACAATATGCGGTACCTACTAATGGTCAGGAGTGAGTCAAAAATCCATTCAAAATACATTTTAATTTGGCATTTTTTAAAAGTTGAATTGTGCTAATGAATTCAGTCATGTGAATAAATATTTTCGCAAATAGCATGTCATTCATAAATTGTGATGTGTTGGGAAAAACGGTTGCCACTGAAACTTCGTATATAATATTTACAAATTGATATTTGAGGTGTTTAAAAAGAGGGGAAAAGGGAGAAATAGCCTCGAAAATTGAAAGGGTACAAACAAACACACACAGAGAGAAACGGGAATATTTATTTGCAAATCATCATATTTTACACAATAAATTCATATGAGTAGAGACTCATTCTGCAGTTGATGAACAAAAATCAAATGATGAACAAAAAGTCGTTTGTTTATTCATGCGTGTAAATGAATGCGTTGGCTGTAGTGCTCAGTAATAAAATGTGACAGGTTAAAACAGAGCGCAGGTGAAATGAGATTTTGGTTTCGTTCAACAGTGAGCGATTGATTCATTTTGGTTTTTGATAGTAATGAACTGGAGTAAATGGCATTTTTGAAATAACAGCTTTGAACATTTTGTCGCGAATTTTCAAATCGACTTGAGTGCCGACCGCTTTGTAGTCACTGGCTACATAACCCATCGCAACGTTGCCTCCGAGACTTGGACTTGGGCATCCACTAATGATAAAATTCAATAAATAAAGATAGGAAAGTCTATACATCATCCAACTATTCATTCAAAATCTCAGTAAATTACCTGGTCACAACGCCAATTGGTTTATCACCGCTTAAGATTCGTACACCGTGTCTAGCAGCCGGACCCTTTTCCAACCGAATACCAACTCGTCGACGTCCACAACCGTTCTTCAAGTGATTCAAAATGGTCGCCGCACCAGGAAAGTTTGCTTCTGCCCGACGACGTTTTGCTACAATATTTATGGCGATTTGAGTGAGTTCGAAATAAATTATTATTCATTGGTATTAATTACCAACTAGCCATGCTAGACCGGCTTCAATAGGCGTTGTCTGTTGATCGATATCATTGCCATACAAGCAAAGTCCGGCTTCAAGTCGTAATGAATCTCGGGCTCCTAATCCAGCCAATTGCACTTTGGCTTGTGTCGAATTGAGCAACGCTTCCACTACGAATTCGGCCTTTTCACCTGGTATCGAAATCTCCACACCATCTTCACCTGAATTTTAACACAAAAAACATACATTTTGGACAAGAAGTAGATGAAAACGCTATGAATAGACCAAACCTGTGTATCCGCATCGTGTAATTCTGCACTTAACGCCAGCTACATTGGCAACTCTGGTTTGCATGAAGTACAAATCGCGTAGCGAAAGTGATGAGATGTCTTCGAGTGCAGCTACAGCTGTTGGTCCTTGCAATGCCACCAATGCACATGCATCACTGTCGAGGAATTCAACTGAAACGTCTTTGCCGAGCTTGGTAAATCTTTCCTAATTTCGGATTTCAAATAGTATGCATTCAATTCGGATAACGTTCAATTTTCTTGGCTCATTTATTTGCCACAATTTCTCGTTGCTCTTTTCACTTCAACAAATCTTATTGCATAAAGAGCAAGATAATGGAGAAATGGAGAAATGGAGAGCACATTTGCTCCAGTTGCTTACCACACTTTCCTGTATGATGGCCATATCTTGCTTTCGGCAAGCCGCATTTGATACAATATAAAGCAAATCATCTGACACTTTGGTCACAATCAAATCATCCAAAATGCCGCCGTTTGTATTTGTAAACACGGTCAGAGTGCCGGAATTGAGCTCAAGTCCTTTGATATCAGCCGTACAAATGGATTCAAAACACTCAACAGCATTCTTGCCCCGAACATATGTTTGCAGCATGTGAGACACATCAAATATGGATGCATGTTGTCTAGTGTGTAAATGTGATGCCGAAATGCTGAGATTGCCATATTGCACCGGCAGCAAATACCCCGCAAAATCAACTAATTTCCCTTTATACTGTTCATGCAAATCGTACAGACGCGTCTTCTTTGGCAATGCACTTAGTTCCGGTTGAGTACTGCTTGCCGAACGTCGTTGCAACTTCATCAACGATAAAGTATTTGCTCGCACCGAACCAAACAATAATTTCGAATTAGTCATCGCATATTTTACTGAAGACATACTCATAATTCACTCCACTTGACTTCACTTCACTTTATTTCTGTCGTGTATCACTTTGGCCAATTTCCGTATGAAATTCTTCTATTATTTTTGCTACAATCCCTTGTATCCCTATATAATTAAATTTTGCACTTGATAATTTCTAGTGTGCTTACTTGTCACGTTCAAAATGACTTCTGTCAAAAGACATTTTAAACACTGTCTACATAAGATTGTTACAATTTTGTCGCACACACACGCGCATACACATACACGAGTAATCACACGAACTATGTTTGTCATTCAATCGGCCAGAATCGTTGTCGCTGTCGTCGTCGTTGTTGCTCTTCCAAATGTTTGTTTGTGTTTATCACAAATTTGTGGCTCCAAAGGTCAATGGTTGTGTTTGACAGATTCAAAATTCAAACGAGATCACATTCTTGAGCTCAATATTTCCAAACAATTTCGTCGCTGAGACGCATAAAATGAAACAGTCTGACGCGTTTGATATACGTATATATATATGTACATGAAATCAATTTTTTCTCTCGACAGATTAACCGCCTTTAACTGGATGTGCTCATTTCAATCGTGTGTGTGTGTATGATCTTTTTGCTCCTGTTTACATTAAGTGAACAAAACGCATCACTGCAAATGTGATTAAGCCATTCAAAAACTGGTTTGAAACCGGTTTTGATGCGGTCAACCATGTCATTTAAAAACAATAAATGATATCGCTCATTTTGTAATGTTTCGACTGCCCCTTTCTCACCGCACAAACGGGATCCGTTATTTATCTCGGATTTTCGCCTTCACAAACCGTTACATTTCACTATCGCATTTCTTACATACAAATTCTGATGAGCCAGTCAGTTAAGGAATATATATATATATAGAGAGAGAGAGAGAAAGTTTATATTTTGACTTCAATACTCGATTACACTAATCCCGATTTGAAATTGAAACTTGTAATTTTAGTTGCTTTGGACGAACAGTTTATGACGGATTACTGATTAAAGTATTATCAACGAACGTTGATTTATTTCGCATCCGAAATTGGCCGTTGTTTACTTCAAAATCAGTTGAAATTGAATTGAAAACCAAACTTATGATTATATTTATATTTTATTGATAGAATGATGTAGAATGATCACCCAAACCCCAGCAGTGATTTGTTTGAATAACAACCAGTTGCTCTGTCGTGCTTATCATTTCGGTTCCATGAATAGAAATGAGTTGATTGTGCCAACAGCCAACAGCCGACGATTACTCGATCAACTACGAATGCAGCCCATTTGTAACGATAAGATAGAGTCCAATCATTCGTAATAAGGTCTGCTCTGAATATTCGTTTTCTTTTTTGAGCAAATAAATACCGAAAAATGAGTCTACAAAATAAGTTCGAAACCGAAAAAAAAATGCGATGAGAACATCGATAGAGAAATTAATAAAGAAGTATAAGAAGCCCGACGGACAAAATCCACAAGCTTCCCATTTGTTTTTGACGGTGGTTTTGCGTCGCCAATGTGACGCTATTATTCTTTCTCGGTAGCTGCACATAATGACTTAGTGTCGCATTGGCATTAGATTCATGCAAGTACACAACAACTTTCCAAGTGGCTTGAGCATCAACTAAAATTACCGGCAACAAAACAATACCAGACCATAAAAAATGCACCAGACAAGAATGCTCGCACAGTGTCACAGTGTGCACGGATGGAACAAATTTTCTTCGCTTTTATTTCAATTTTCAAATGAAACCCCGTGCGCATTTGGTGCAATCAAAATGAATAACGGAAAGAAAAGTTTTGGAACGTGGCAGACATTCGAATCTGGCATTTACGCCACCGTGAGCGCGTCTGGAGATGATTATTTCCAATTGTTTTTTACACTATTTGATATTCTCCATGACTTTATTTCCTTTTTGTTGCTCAGTTCGCACATAAACAAACTTATTTTTATTGCTGACTTGAAGGCAAGCGTCGACTTTGCTCTCAAGTGAAATTTATGAATTTTACTTTCGCTGGCTTGCAGTTGGATTTACAACGTCGACATGAAATAGTGAAAGAATGTTAGCATGTTTTGTCGCGGCGCGTATGTGTCTTCGCTAACTATCCCTTTTCATCGTTGTGTTGCTTTGGCTCGGTTGAGGATCAATTGAAAGCGCAAACTGAATTTTGAATTCCACCATTTCTCGCACGGATAATATATTTCTGCAATAGCTTATGGACAACTTTTAGCCTCATTCGAGCATTTGTTGCGGTTACAACCCGAATTTGTCGATCGGAAAATCAGCCGCACGAGTGAAGCAACATACTAGAGAAAAAGGTATGCGTTGTAATTGTTACTCTCTCTCACTCACTCAATTACCTCTGACCGTCGCTCAGGTGGTATCAACACCGTCCGATACTGGCTTTACTCTGTAGACTATATATAAGTTGCACTTTTTTGTTTCGTTAACATGTTCGCAGGCGGATTAGCATCACACGGATGCCAAACCACCATCCGAAATCGTCAGCATGTGAATTTATCTGCTTACAAGTTTGCTAACGTATGACGCGCTCGGTTGAGAACATTAATTAAGAACTATATTTTCTTGTATAATTTAGTTTCAGAAGTGCGCTGTCGTGTTTCATGTTGAATCAGATTTGCTGTGGATAGATTCAAAGCACTTTCTCAGCAGTACACTTCCTGATTATACATTTTTCATGTTGCTCCTTGTGGCTCATGGTCAATAGTACACCAAGCAGTAGAAAATCTTTACAGAGAGAGGAACAGATACAGACATTTAGACCGACGAAACAAATACAGACGCTCAGAAACTGAAAAAGAATGATTAAAAGTGTTGAAAACTTGTTAATAAATAAGCCCAGGCAATGTAACACATTGCGGCAACATCTTTTAATTAACTCGCACTTGTTTCACGCTCTCACTGCGAAAAGAAATATAAGTATTTTTTCCCTACTGGTTACGGCATTCATTTCAAAAGCATATAGATGTATATATATGCTTGTGTGGGTTGGAGCAAAATAATTTTCTGCTGGCGTTTAGTCTAGGGGCATGTGGGTTTTTCTGTTGCGGATTAATTTGGAATCAATGTTAATGAATTCATTTTACCAGGAGTGACTCTCTATCGCCTTTCGTTTTTCGTTTTTTTATTCACTTTTATTCCATTCCCAATTTCATAATACGAGTCAGAGCATGCACACATTGCATGCATCCAACTCGCGTAGCACTGTGGCACTTGAGCCATGGAAGTGGACGCGTTGAAGACGGTAAACGACTTTTGTGGTTTAACACCAACATCACCTTTCATTCCATTTAACCACCACCATTGCCACCGTCGTCATCATTGTCGCTGCAACGATGGTCCTGAAACACTCTCTGCTAACTTTAATTTAAATTTCTTTTCTCACTTCAAACACGTTTTTGCCATAAACAAAGATGGGAATTGCGTTTAAAGTATAAGCTGAAATAGCATGCGATAAAGTTGAGACAATATCTAATTTGCTCATTGCTCACGTGATCCATATTAACCAAACAAAAAACATCCCGGAAAATGGTATGGTACATATAGCTGCATTGTGTGTTATATAAAATAGAAGTCGTATAGAGGGGATTCCATTCTTATCGTACGCAAAATGCGCTGCATCAAATCATGCAGCATTTAAGACCGACAAAGTAGCGACTCATCAATACAAATGAAATTGGTGTAAATTTTATTAAGGACGATCCATACCTTAAATTAACGTGCAGCCAAAAATAAATATATTGAAAAATATATACTAAATTGCATATAATACCTAATAACAATGGACTCAAAAATAATACAGATTTCATTGATGGCACATTTTTCATCATTCAACATGTATCGCTGGATACATTTTTTTTCTCCATCTGATGGGAAGTTAAGAAGGAGATTTTTTTTGGATTTTCTTGATTTTCATTCTAGATTTTTGCTGCGAGGAGAGGAAATCTGGAAAATCTGAAAAAAAAAAATCAAGAAAATCCAAAAAATCTTCGGGATTCAAAAAAAGTTCCATTCCGACTTCCCATTGGCGGAAGAAAGTTCTGGGCTCAAAAAGACCCTTGAGAATAAAAGTCAAACCTTAGCGAATTGAATAGAAACAGGAACTTGAAATAACATATCACGTACTTAAGAAAGGAAAAAGTCTGCACTTGCTAATAATAAAATAAATTTGAATTAAAAATTGATTTTAGTTTTATGGTTGTGTCACATATAAACGGCTGAGAATATCCGTTGGGCGTGTTTTGATTCGTTGGTAAATGTCCATCTTGAAAAAGTTGTACGCAAAAGCGGTACATCAAAATAATTTTTTGGGGTTTTCAAACCGTGGTTACAACAGCACTTGTACCCAGACACCGCGCATTTGTGTCTACGAAATTGGTTGACGTTTCAATTCTATGGACGCCGCCATATTGAAAATTCACGTGCGATATGGTGCACGCACTCAATAGTTCCACTTATCTTAATAAGGAATCTATATAGGTGACGCTACCACATCGTCTTTCACATCGATTTAAATATTGTAAAATATATTAACATTGATTATATAGGCTTTGAGCGCACTCCGCTTGTACCGCTTATTCGTACAACTTTTCTCAAGTTCCACATTTTACTAAGCATTGAAATACGTTCAAATAATATTCTCAGCAGTTTATATGTCGAGACTGTGTTTACAGGATTGGCGGATATTTTAACACTTCTAGCTCCAATGCTGCGAACATATTACGTATGAATTCAATTCAAATCAATGAAATCGTTTGATCCACGTCATCATCGTCTGCACAATTACTGCTGTGTGACCAGTCTTTCATTGGCCCTAATCAATTTCATATACTTGGCCGTTAGAATTCCTTCGAGTCTATGCATTATGCGAATGGAATATGGGTTGATTTATTTAAAAGTCAACACATAATCTAAATTGTGATGCGAAGATGAAGCAAAAACCACACTAACAACTTAACAAATTATATTCCACCGCTATTGCAGTAGCGTTCCATTTCTATAACGTTACTGTGACACTCAAAGCGTTGAAAGTATTACTCTCAAATATTTAATTTATTCTATTTTTGCCATATACATTCGGATGTTTATGAGCGTGGTTTAAAGGTAACTGCGGTCGTTGCGCAGTCTTATTCATTTTTATTACATCTACCGGAGTATAAAAACTTTTCTCATTTCATATACAATGGTTTTGTGTTCGGGTGAACACTCTGCCTGTTTTGAGTTGAGAAAGAGTTACATGGCAATTCCAAACGCAGCTGTAGTTTTTTTTGCAAAGCTAGAAATTCCATTTGACAAAAGAAGATGGTACTTAACTAGGGCATCGTGTTTTTCACAGTAGCTGTGGCGAAAAAAATCAAGAGCTACATTTGAAAAAGTTGAATACGTTTAAAATAGGAAATAAAACGCAGAAAAGGTCATTTTCAAAGCAATTTATTCCGAAATCGCAACACAAACGGCTCTTAGCTCACACAACCCCCCCCCCTCCAAAAAACAAGAACTAATGCAACTATCAAATGCACGGCACGTTTTACTAATTCAGAAGATAAATAAAAGGTGAACACAAACATCATAAGAAAAATCATGGTACGCTGAATGAATTCGTTGCCAACCCGTTGATATTGGGTAATTATAGTAAAGAGAAAATGCAAAAAAAACCAACAACAAATGAACAAACTGTTGAAATCCAACTATTTTCATCTGAATTTTCCTTTGTATGAACAATGCAAAACGAAAGTAGAACAATATGTGTTTTCGTAATTGGTGTTAGCATTAACAATATTTCACACGTTGTGTTTTGCATTGTGCACTATATTAAAATATACACAGTATACAATTGTTGCTGAAATTTTAGCATTCTCACGCACACATACACACATTAAAAAAAACGACGAGGCGAGGAAAAAGAAGATGAGGCGAAAGGGAACGAGTGCAGATCTCAGCTTGTTATCGCAGTAGGTTTGCATTGCGAGCATTAGTCGTTGAATGTAAGACTAAATTGGATAATATGCGTTTGCAAGAATACCATAAAATCCGATCCGATTGCTCTGCATATGGGAAAATGGATACATATAAACATAAGCATAAATGCCGCGTACACAAATTGCCCAAACACTGGAAGTTCACGCAAATAAAGCAGTAGCCGACAAATCCACTGTACCATATAACCATCCGCTACTGATACTGCTATCACAGCCACCTCTGCTACTGCTGCAACTGCTGCTACTGCTGATGATGCTGCTGCTCAAATAAAAATAAAATAAAAAAAAATCCGGCATGAAAACAGGAAGCATAAATATAAACATAGAATGTGTACCGTAAATTACCCGATATTCAGTGGAAGCAAAGGTGTGAGATTTCGTATATATCGAACGATACAACACATTTATACGCAGAAAAATGACACGAGATAAAAAAAAAATACGACGGTGAATCCTCAAACGTTTATTCCAAACGACCGGTTCAAATGAAAAGCATCCATATCTACCGTGAAAAAAGAACAAAATAACACAACGCATGGTAATATCGGCAAACGATGTCGGTAAGATGGCACATACATTGGGAGAAAGATAGTAGCAAAACTTGATTATTTCCACCGAAAAAAAGAAAAATCCCGTAAAAATGGTGAAATTACGATAGTCAAGTCGTAAGAATGGTTCTAATAAAGAAGTTAAACCAGCGACTAACAAGGATTTACGTGTTTCTCTATGCACAACGCTAACATAAACATGGCAGGCAGTAAAGCAACACATACACATACATTAATATGCTAACATTTTCTCGGTGTGTTTTTGTTCTGTTCACTTGTCTGCAACACTAGTTCACACTTTCATCGCTGTCGTTGAGGTTTATGCATGCATTGAATATATTAGAATCTGTCAAGAAGTTGTCATTTACGCAGTTCGGATGCAGTCAAAAATCGAGGAAAATGCCTCACTTTATTTGCTTGGTTATCTTACCATTGTCGCCGTCGATTCTATATGAACGACAACCAAAATTTGAAAGACGTTTTGATAGAGAAGGTTTCAATGTTCTTTTTTTCTGGTGCTATGTGTGTTCTATTTTTGTTTCACTTCTGCAAGATGCATATGAAAGATTCAAGTTCCATTCATTCGTTTGTTTGCTTCGTTGTGGAAAATCTACGTTTCAAAATCGATCACACGTGACATTTGTTTGCTTCTACATTTTGAATTCACTCGATGTTTATCATTCATTTGATACCTTTTTAAGCCTTTTCAAACTTTATATGGAGATCGTTTGAATATTCGCTTAGGTCTGCGCGTCCGATACATGATGACATTAAATTTTCGTTTATCCTCTATGTCCGATTATGCCGAATCAAAATTACCACAAAATACTGCCGGAAAAATATTCGAAACGTATTGTAATCAAAATCAATAAAATACGAAATATTTGGTGTTTTCACAATTTACAATATATTTCCACCTTTGAAAACATTCAGCGCCACTGTTTGATTTCGTTTGGCAGATCATTGAATAATTCAAGTCCGTTATAGAAACTGTATTCATCTCGGATTACTTCCAAATATTCAGATGAAATAGAAATATCAAATGAAAATATCCTATACTTTTCGCGCATTGCATTGATAACGTATGAATAGCTAGCCGATGGCGAAAACAAGTCAATTTTTGTAACGTACACTACCGGACAAAAGTTTGAGGCACATTTAAAATGCATTATTCTTATGTTTTTATTTCTCATTCAACCCAAATTTTAGAGCACGCTAACATCATTACATCCGTATGATTGAAAATATCGGATATTTTTATGCAATATTTGTGATGCGTCCACCAAATCGCACTATATACGTGTCCCCATGTATTAGCGCACACATTGAACTTAATTTGTTGATCGTTTTGCACACGAACAGACACGTACAGATATAACAACTCAGCAGTAATGTGTCGCTTGGTAAACGCATCACAAATATCGCGCAAAAATATCCCGACTATAACTTCAGTTGACTTTAGTTGATTGAATTTATATTTTTGTTCTAAGAAAATCAAAGTGAAGTCCCAAATTAAGCAACTTAGATTGACTTGTAACTTCAAATGATTTCAGTTAACTATGATAGACTTACACTACACTTTGTACTGAAATGTCAATCAAAGTAGGTCATTTTTGTCCGAAATTAGTTAACTGACTGCTCAGTTACAATATTTGCACACGGGATTTGATATTTTTATTCAAGCTGATATACTAGTAGCTAGCGTGCTCTGCCCAAATTTAGTTTTTAATCTGAAAGCCTTTTGAAACTCCGACCGAATGAATGATTTTGAAGACAAAATTTGGCCGGCATATGGCCATTTTTTTGTTTGTCAAAATCGGCTTCATAAACAGACCAACAGATTAAAAAATTACGCCTGCCGATTTTGATGTTTCATACTGAATATACCATCTACTTTTCAAGACCTTTCCAGTTATATATACAAATTTTGAAACAGATAGCCTCTTTAGGAAAAATAAATAACACGTTTGAAGGTTACCCCTTTATCTGAAAATTACGTGAACATTCGCTTAGATTGATTTTAGAAAAAATTTGAATTTCGTGTGTTGTGTCCGTGCAGATACGTAACTTATGAGTCACCTAAGTTCAATATCTTGTGCACCAATTGATTGGAGTTTATTCGTCATAATGACGACCATCAACAGTTTCGAATGTTTGTTCGAGGCCCAGGAACACTACCACCACATAGTGACCGTCTCCATGTCTATTTTCCAGTCGTTGATCACGAAATGGTTTGCTGATTGAACGTTTTGCGTTCTAATTTGAGTCCATTCGTAAACTGTTATGTCATAATATTCAAACTCAACTGAATAAATATTAACGAAAAAAATAATTAATGCAATTAGTACAAATAATTTAATTGGTGTCGTTTATGTATTTTTTTTAGTTCAGTTTAAGCCCGTCAGAATTATTAGTCTGAGCTGTCACTTTGATTTGCTTGTTATTAGTCATCTTCGTATGCATTCAATGGATACTGTTACATTTAAATTATTCATTGTTTTTCATTTGAATTGTATTCACTTGATGTGACGCATTCGAGTGTGTGCACGGCACGCACCGTAAAACATTCAATCGTTATATCTGTTTTTCCTCGTTTCCTGTCGTCCATATATTCATTTGTATCTATCGTAACGCAGTCTATTACGAAGTTTCATTGAAATTGATAAATACATGCTGAATAATCATCATTCCCCCCTTTTATTCCAATGACATCACAATTTAAAACACATGTACAACATTTTTCATTTTTTCCCCAACAAAATTCAACATAGTAATTAACCGATCCACATAATCACCCATCTAACACTTTTTGCGCGTGAGCTCTAAATAATTTTCAGTGAATGTATTTTTTTTTTCAAATTCATTAGTTGGTATTTTAGACAACGTGTGCTATAAATTTCGGGCGCTATCTGTTTTTTTGTTCAATATATAAGTAAATATCAACACATATGGTAAACTATATAACAACTAAAAGCCGTCAAGAAATTTGTTCTAGTTAATTTTGAGCGAACGTAAATAAAACGTCGGCGGTGATTTTTCTCATTTCGTATGATATAAATCGTTGGTGTTAAACAATAAATTAAAGCACCTATTATTTGACGACAATGACGGTAAATTAGAATCGTTCTCCGTTCCCAACATATACAACGGAACACCATAGCATGATTTGAAAATTTCGTCAAAACTCCAAGCTTTTATGCACATTCTGAGATACAAACTCTTACACTAACTGTCACTTCTCATACCATGATTTTACTTGAATTTATTCCGTTTCCAACGATGCTTTCGATTAATAATGGCAAATCAGTTTCGGTTGAATGTATCGATACGAAATGCGGAATAAAATGGATTAATCGCTTATGTGCTCCGTTTAATTCGGATTTACGACTGCCAGTGTGTTTGACATGGCATGCGTTCTCTCTCTCTCTCTCTATCTCTCTCTCTCTCTCTCTGTGTGTGTGTGTGTGTGTGTGTTTTTGTGTTTCGTACACTCGTTACGCTTCTGGTTTCAATTTCAATTCCGATTAACTTTGGCTTTTTGATTGAACTGATATTTCACAGGTATTTGAGTGGTTATACGGATTCGTTATCCATGAATTGTGTCAATATGCGGTTTTGCGTAAATCGTAAAATCGAAAGGAAAAAATGTAGAATCAATTATTGATTGAGTCTCCTTATTCACACGGCCAAATCTTTGGTATTACCCAAAAAGTCTCTTTTTCCACAGCTCCTCGAATAACGCACGAAATAAATGTAAATTGAATGTGCAAGGATAACCATTCCAAGCGAAACAAAAGAAAATCCGGCAAAACGCTTCGGAAGTTTCGTCTTCACTTCTGTTCTGTTTTCTTTTCCTTTTTTTCAGATAGAATCCAATTTTAGAGCTACGCATATCATGTGTACTCATTTTTATCCTTGATTGCTTTTGATACGTCGACCATTCGACTTAATGTTGATCGCTATCATTGTCTTTCAATTGAATGTGATGTTTGTACGATTCGGATGTACAATGATAGTGGCGTAGGGAATATCGATTGATTTCAGATAGAAATGCGTTCGACAAATCTAATGCTACGGAAATACTTTAACAATTCAGTTTCTATTCAAAGGAAAAGTTATCGAGGATTATTTTATTTCCATTGAGTTTGTAAAAACACATATCAACATTTGATATGTCTGATATTAAAGTGTTGTACCTGACTTTTTTTTGCCATATTTCCGCAATTTTTGTCGACTAATTGGTTAAAAGTGTTAACTTGAAACAATAATTAAAATAAAATACGTCAATTCTCGGAACAATTCAATACCAACACGGCTCGAGTTTACAGTTGTCATCATCGTGTTCGCCTCAATGTCATGTAAAAATTTGTCGCGAGGATTCATGTCGAATAAATCCACTAATTGGACCAAAAGTAAATACTTTCTTCGTACTTGTGCAAGTTTTAAAGCGAAGAGTTAAACTGATTGATGACATGCTGAAGAATATGCAATGAAAAGCGCATAAACAAGTGCATTTTTGTCTCCTTCGTCTTCTTAATCCTCGTTTGCAATTCAACCAATGCAACATTTTGGAATGTGCCGTGCCATAGACAACGAAGACATAATGAAATATTATGGAAAAATTAAGAAATCTTTTCCCATATTTTGCATATCTGTTTAAAATAAATGTTCGAAATTCGTAATGGAAAGAACAGCAAGCAATGGTTAAATTGAAATAAAAAGCATTGTTCAAAGTCTTGTGGCCGTTTCTCAGCGCAAACAATGTACTCGAAAATGGTTTTCGAATTTAACAACAACAACAAAAATCGCAAACAACGAATTTGGCCAAAAACATGAAAAGAACACAACAAAATAAGCGTAGCTGTATAAAAATTGAGACGGATTTCTCAGCCCCGCGTTTCCTGCCATCCCATTGAATTTCGTAATATTGCATTTTATCTGTCTGCCAGACAAAAATACGAACCCATTTATCTAAATCAAATAAAATCAGAACGAAGGCGAAATGTATGCATACACGTAGTCGATGATGTTGCTGTGTGTAGAAAGTTCTGTATAAATGGCCTCAGTTTGTTTTGGTGTGTGGCAGAAAAAAGAGGAACACTGCGAAACATCGCATGCAAACCCAAATTAAGTGTAAATTTGTTGATCAAATCCGTCATTTCTGTGAATATGCGCTTGTGCAATATGTTCGTATCAAATCAGTCAACTAGACTTCAAGCAGAAGCAGCATGTCATCAATTTTCGCACATTTCACGCAAGAAAATGCCATGGCAACCAGATTTGAGTCTCCATTATTCATTGAACACCGTTTTTTTTGTGATGACGCACAGCGAAGCTAGCGCGTTCGTATCAAACAGAAGAATTTTTCATTGAACAATTTATTTTGATACGGCGAAAACATCCTTAAAATGGGGAGCAAATTATCGAGCAAACATTTTTAAAATTCACAGCACATGGGGAAGATCAAATGCAAAAAGTGCAGAAGAGACAAACAATTTTTTTTTAGATTTTTGAAGTTTTCATCTCGAAAAAATGTATCGATCTCTCAGACCTTACTGGGTTTTATTCATTCACAGTTAGCGCTAATGTTGAGACAAAGGATACAAAAATTTGAATGAAACAAGAGAGTCCTAAAATATTGTTTTTAAAAAATGCAATATGAAATATGACAATAAAAGAAGAATAACAAAATGCTGTGTTTCTTAGATTGTTGGCCTTTTGAATGGAGTGAAGCACTGTTACTTTTCTAATTCATTCAAACGCTTGTCAAAATGATTGCTAAACAATGCAACGCATGCTGTATACAACGTGTATAGAACGAAATGGTAGAATCAGAATCACGGTCGTTCACGCCGATTGTGAAAGGGAAAAAATAGCATCGAGAATAATAAATTTCAGGTTTATTTCTCTCTATCGCCCAGCCGTGTCTGCTTTAGAATCAAGTACGAGTGTCGGTAGCTCTGAATTTAAACCATCCGTGACTATATCCGTCACTCATGTGTCACGTTT